TAGCATGTAAAAACTGAAGGGAAGGAATGGGGAGCTGTCTAACTATACTATACCATTTTTTCTAAATCTTCTTAGCTCATATTGGCAACTTTCTTTCCCTTTAGAACGGACAACCCCTGCCAATTCATTTGGACAGAGCTCAGAAGATTCTAATTCATTGAGACTTTAATTGTGCATCCTAATTTATTTTAACTCCAGCCAAGACTTGCCAACTGTCTTATGTAATCTTATGCAGTATGATGAATCCTTTGCTGCCACTCCGGCTCCCCTTCTTTTGCTGATAAAAGAGAGAATCTCTAAAATCTGAAAATATATGTTATAGGATCTGTAGCTTTCCCTTTGCCAGCACTATTAAGAACAGTTTCCATTGAACAAGGGCACTTTAGTCTTTCAATTTTTAACTAAGAAAAGTAAGCATATGATTATATCTATTTCTACTTTGTAGTCTTCTGCCCTGTTGTCACATAACACAAGACTTGATGCATACTAGTCTGTATCGTGTCTGTCTTTAACAATGTCCAATAATCTTTTGGGAAAATTGGAAACTAGGATTGAAAATGTTCCATGCATCAACAATGCGCTTGTTCCTTGAGCCAAATGGAAATGTAGGCAACTGAACTGCACAAATTTCGAGAAGGTAGTTCTACCTGAGTGTAAGTCTTAGCTGGAATTTCTTAATCAATAACTCCTTTCATAAGTAGTAGGAGTTTTTGAATTGGTATGTTGGAGTAGGAGTTTTTGAATTGGTTACTTTTATCCTGTCTGTAGTCATTTGTCATGATCTCTGAGGGTTGCATGTATTAGTTAAGCTTTCTCTTTTTTTTGTACATCCTTTTTGGTACCTGAAACTCTATTACAGGTTTCTCTGATTTAATGTTAGTGCAGTGCACCATTTCCGTAGTGAATATGCTTGCATCAGATATCCCGCTCAGTAATTCAGTAATCTAGGGAGGCATCTACACAGATGTGCATTTTCTCCAGCTAGATTTATTGTACTCAAGAATTAGCTTGAATTTTGTGAAAGATGGTATCCTTTTCCAGGTCTGCTATGTTGCCTGTTACTATTCTAGTGCATGTCTGATTCAACACATTGTCATTCTCACTTGCCAATAGAAGGTAACAGCTGGATAGAGGGTAATGGTATAATTGTAAGAGATGAAACAAAGTTGGCCATTTAAGAGTTATACATCTTTTCCTAAGCAAATCATTGCTGAATGCCAGAATTCACAATGACCTGATTTTGAATTTTGAATTTTTTTCAGTGTGGAGTGCATCATCTTCATAGATAGAGAACACACTAGTGCAGCCAGAAGGATGTAAATATTAGCTGGGTATATATGCAGCACTGCTGGTCTTTAAGTTTTGTACTAATATGGACATCAGATCTGGTGTTCACACTCCCTTGTGCCGAACAGTTTTTTCTAATTTCCTGGAGAAATGGGACTATATGGCCTTTCCCTGCAATACTCGGTTTCCTATGGCTATGTGTATGCTGCACACTGCTTGTGGCAGGGTGTACGGTATGTGTAGCTATGTGCTATAGTGAAAGGCAGACTGTGCCACATTATGGTGTGTAGCTGCACGTGTCAGTGAGAGGCTCTGGTGGCGGCAGGCAACAGGAAAAGGCTTGGCGGTGAGGAGCTGTCAGAGCCTTTCCCCGCTGCCATAGTCTTTCCCTGCAGCAGCAAAATAATCCAGCAGCTCCCTGTTGCGGGGGAAGAGGTCTGGTACCAGGCAGCTGCTGAAGACTTTCCTTGCTGCAGGAGTCTTCCCCTGTGGTGTGTGATATTTTGAGGTCTAAATGCCAGACTCACTCTTCAATAAGACTGTCCCCAAGTAATTGCACAAAAAGATAAATGCGTAATGAACCAATACTGATTTCCCCATAGAATTTTAGTGTAATATTTTCTGGTGAAGTGTATTCTAGCTGAGAGACAAGGTGGATGAGGTAATATGTTTTATTGAACCAGCTTCTTTTGCTGACAGAGAAAAGCTTGGCCAATAAAAGCTATTACCTCAACCACCATGTGTCTCTAATATCCTGGGACCAACACAGCTACAGCTACACTTCATAGCTATTAGTGTCATTCACCTTTGAGCTCACTTTAAGAATATATGATGTGTGGAAAAATGTTGTTAGAAGTAAATTTTAAAATGACTCTCCACCTTATTCATACCAATTATTTCCTAAAATAAATAAAAGTCAGTTTAATTGGAGAGTACCTGATAATCTGAGAGGTTTGACAAGACCATCCAGCAAATGTTGGAAAGATTTATGGAATGGGTGTAATAAGCACCTATCGTTATACCTCAGTTTTTGGCTACACAACTTTAGACACTTAAGAGGGGCCTCACTTTTTTAAAGAAAAAGCTGAGCACCCATGCTTTGAAGATCAGGCCCCTTTTATATGTCTCAATTGGAGTGACCAAAAACCAAGGCAAGCAAAATCAATAATAACTTATGAAAATGTAAATGTCTGGAGGCTTTCAATGGACTCAAGGATTTATGACTAGAGCAAGAGGAGATCAAAGGTCTCTTACTTACTGGGCACCAGACTTTAACTTTAAGACAAAATCTAGTTACTGGTCTCCTCCTGAGGTAGCGGAGCTGTGTGCTACCTCTTGCTCAGGGCTTATGGAAAAGCCACAGTTTAGCCCTGAATGTGTAGCAGTGTCATTGGCAAGTGTCAGTGAGTTAGAGGTCATAAAAGGAGCATAGTTTTCTCACTCAATTGTCTAGGCACTGTGCAGGGATTACAGAGAAACAAAGAGATCTGCCCTTGAGGGACAGTCAAAATTCAGATGCAAGAACACTTTTGACAACATTTGGCATTGCTCCGATTTATGCTTGTAAATTAAAAATGGCAAGGGGGAAACAGCTTTTGACCCATTAAGAGTTCAGGGATTTAAACTGAGCTCCATGAAGTAGTGATCAAGAGGGAGATTTTCAAAAACACCTAAGGGATTTCAGAGCGCAAGCCCCATTGATAGCCAATGGGACTTGTGCTCCTAAATTCCATAGGCACTTTTGAAATATCTTCCCTGCCCTTAATCTTTATTTGTGACTTGCACAAAACCAGTTATGCTGTTGGTGTTTAACAAAATGGTGACCGTCAGGGCACATTACAAGGCCATCTCATAACCTAGGCTTTTGGGGAAGTAAGCATTTCATAAAGGCTGGCTTTTGTAGGAGGTGTTAGGGTCTAGTTTTGGTGTTCTTTAATTTGATTGTTGGTTTTGGTTAGTTTTTTACTTATTTTTCTGCTTTGGGAAGGCTACTGGGTTTTATTATATTGCTTGTATTTCAAAATTACGTCAAAGGTACCTAGAACTCAAAATAATCACTTTTTTCTCTTTGTGTTCTAAATGTAAAATAAATTAACAAATAATAAATAATCAGGTTAATAGAATTAACAATAATCTTGGAGCACTAAAATGAGAATCTCTCTAAGTAACCCTAATTTTGACCTAAAAGTAAATAATCCTGAAGCACAACAGTTAAACTGGTTATGTCCTCCTCATCTCATTCTTACTCTTAGAAACTGCAATACATGGAACAATTTGAGAAACAGTATAAGGCCAAAGTTTTAGAAACTGACTCCCTCCCCCCCCACTATAATTTGAAAACAGTGTTTTAGCTGGGTTGGTTTTTTTTCATGTTTTGATTGCTCACAGGTAATACCTTGTATGTCATGTTTTAGCCTGGAGCTGAGGTTTATGGCACAGTTCTAAACCATGGAAATGAGGAGTTTATAATGGAAAAAATTGAAACCATAAAAACAGTATTTGAAGTGAACTGACCTATTGCCATTTTATATTTCTAGAGTGATAACATAGTAGCAGCAGAAAAGCAAAGTTTGTGTTGAACAGGTGTTTAACAGGCCAGATCCAAAGTCCATTTGATTCACTGGAAGTCTTTAATGAGCTTTGGATCCAGCCCCAACTGGCCAGTATATCCAGGACAGACACAGCCTTTCACTGTTTGTTAATTGATGGATTTCAGTTTTTAAAATGTGCCCACCCTTTTCACACATAATGTAACTTTAGAGCAACATTGCTGACCAAGGACTAAGAAATATAATAACCCCCCCCATCACAATTCTTCAGAAAACTCTCCCGCTCGTTCACCAACTCTTCATCCTTTTCCTCCTTGAAAAAAGCCTGAGTACAAATGAGCAAGTTCAAGCTGTGGCAAGCCAAAGTTGGAAGCTAATTCCTCAGTCTAGGACTTGTGAATATAAAGGCCCTGCCAACAGCATCCCTGCAATAAAGGAGGTGTTAGCTTGAATATCTCTCACATTATCTCAGCTACATTGATATTGCATGGCAGACACAGGTATCTTGAGTTATCCTGGACCCAGCCTGTTTAAGGTTTTTTACATCACAATAAATATATTAAATTGAACCCAAAACAAACTGGGAGCCAGTGGAGCTCACAAAACACGAAGTACTGTGCTTCCTGTAAGAAACACCCTTAAAATTCAGCTGCTGAAGTAGCTGAAGTTTCTGAATGCTCTTGTGTGGAGAGTATTGCAACAATCCAATTTCAGGGGGACAAAATGTTGCTTACTGCAGCAGGATTTCTGTATTTGAAAGAAGAGGATGGAATCTCCTGGTCAAGCATAAATATTAAAGCACCCTGGGGCACTGCCACTACCTAACATTTGCAAAACTACACCAAGTCCAGGCAGACTCCAAGGTTGGGAAGGCAATAACAAAAGGCAGACAAATTCCCTTAATAGAAGGACTCATCGTACCTCTGCCAGTTCTCCTAGCAGGTGCACCAAGTCCACCAACATAACCTCAGTCTCATCTGTGGTGAATCTGAACCAGTTCACCCTCAAACTTTTGCATTATCATTTGCTAAATATGTTACGTGCTACTTACCTCTGTCTGCATCTTTGAGACCTAAGTATGATATCTCCACCTCTGGAAAATGTGCTGTTAGTCACTGCATATTAAAATAGATATCATTTAGACATGCCAATAAAATAACTTACCAGATGGTTTATCAGTTGAAGTTGGACTGCTAGTAACTGGTGGCATGGTTGGTAGATTAGGTGGTAGAACCTTTAAATTCTGATCACTCTGAATCTCATTGGTAGCTATTTGGTTGATAATGCGATTGTAAGTAGGAGGCTGATACATTTTGTTTGGTGGTTGGGGAGGTTGGGGTATTGGCTTAATGGATGGCATTCTTTGACAATGTTCTTCTAGCTGTGCAATAATTATAGACTGGTTATTGGCAATTGACACCAAATGTTGATATTTGTACTCTAGGTCCTTGTATTTGTTTGCAAGTTGCAACATATCAGCAGTTTGGTTCAATATCTTATTTTCAAGTTGGGAAAGTTCTAATGCATTGTCCCGTTTTCGAATAATTTCATGTAGCAGCTGCATATAAAGTTGCGTGACACGAGAGTTCATATTCCGACTTTCTTTTCGTAAAAGTTTAACCTCATTAACAATCCCACCATCCACCTCCACCAATTGCTGAAGAGTTTCTATTTGTCTCTTTTGCTTTAGAAGTTCATTGTTAAGCAGCTCTAATTCTTGCTTATTTACCCGGTTTTCAAGAAGAACCTCAGGCTCCTTTGAATTAACACAAATGGCACCTGTCACTTTCTGCTGAGGTACAATAAAGGTGTAAGTGCACTTGTCCTGTGTGTCGCTGGACCGCTTATACCTGTTCATGTAAATGAATTCTTGCTCTGTGCCCTCATCACTGCTTTCAAATTCCTGTGTCTTGCTAGCAGTCACTCCAATGACTGCAATTAGTAATAAGCAAGTTAATCTTGCTGCCTTCGTCATTCTTTATTTTTGGATAACTTTTCTTCTACAAATGAACTTCTAAAATCTGTTTAAAATAGAAAAAAAAGTTATTTAATAATAATAAATAGAAAATAAATTAATGTGAATGAGAAGATTAACAACTGATGTATTCATTGGGAAGTCTTAAAAAAATCTCTTCAAGTGGTAAATGATATGAAAATATAAATATTTTCATGCCAAAAAATATGGTACACTTTTCATGTCTGGTAAGAGCTTCTACCAGATAAAGATAAAAAAATGATAGAGAGGCTACTGAGACAAGCCTCTTCATGGAGACAAGTTATAACTTACTAGCATCCTGTGACCAGGATGTTAATAAATTGTGAAACATTGCTATAATTTCTCACCACTCTCCTTAAGGAACTGAATTAGTAAAAAGTAAGCCCATATTTCTAGGACAGTGCCATCAGTTTCTCAGAAATTCATTTAAATAAAAATTAAGTTTTCATCGCTTACACTTGCAAAGATAACTTTCAAATGTGAACAGAATGTTGCTGATCCTGTGCTGTTACGGTTTCTAAGATGCACTAGATTAGGGCTGTCAAACTATTTAAAAATCGCAATTAATCGCAAGATTTAAAAAAACAGTTGCAATTAATCACAGTTTTAATCGCACTAAATAATAAACAATAATGGAATACCAATTTAAATTCATTATAAATATTTTGGATGTTTTTCTAATTTTCAAATATATTGATTTCAATTACAACACAGAACACAAAGTGTACAGTGCTCACTTTATATTATTATTTTTATTACAAATATTTGCCCTGTAAAAATGACAAAGAAAAGAAATAGTATTTTTCAATGCACCTAATACAGGTAGGATAGTGCAATCTCTTTATTGTAAAAGTGCAATTTATAAATGTAGAATTATATTTTTTCATGGCTGTCGATTAATCGCAGTTAATTCAAAAAAACTAACTGTGATTAAAAAATTAATCTTGATTAATTGCACTGTTAAACAATAGAATACCAATTGAAATTTATTAAATATTTTGGCTGTTTTTCTACATTTTCAAATATATTCATTTCTATTACAACACAGAATACAAAGTTTACAGTGTTCACTTTATATTATTATTTTTGATTACAAATATTTGCACTGTAAAAATTATAAAGAAAAGAAATAGTATTTTTCAATTCACCTCATACAAGTACTGTAGTGTAATCTCTTTATCATGAAAGTGTAACTTACAAATGTAGATTTTTTTTGTTACATAACTGCACTCAAAAACAAAAGAATGCAAAACTTTAGCGCCTACAAGTCAACTCCGTCCTACTTCTTGTTCAGCTAATTGCTAAGACAAACAAGTTTGTTTACATTTACAGGAAATAATGCTGCCCGCTTCTTATTTACAATGTCACCTGAAAGTGAGAACAGGCATTCACATGGCACTTTTGTAGCCAGCGTTGCAAGGTATTTACGTGCCAGATATGCTAAACATTCATATGCCCCTTGATTGTTTTATTTTTGAATGCAGTTATTTTTTGTACATAATTCTACATTTGTAAGTACAACTTTCATTATAAAGAGATTGGATTACAGCACTTGTATTAGGTAAATTGAAATATACTGTTCCTTTTATTTTTACAGTGCAAATATTTATAATCAAAAATAAAGTGAGCACAGTACATTTTGTATTCTGTGTTGTAATTGAAATCAATATATTTGAAAATGTAGAAAAAACATCCAAAATATTTAAATAAATGGTATTCTATTATTGTTTAACAGTGCGATTAATGGAAATTAATTTTTTAATCGCTTGACAGTGCTAATTTTTTTACATAACTTCACTCAAAAACAAAACAGTGTAAAACTTTAGCACCTACAAGTCTACTGAGTCCTACTTCTTGTTCAGCCAATCGCTAAAACAAACAAGTCTGTTTACATTTACAGGAAATAATGCTTCCTTCGTATTTACAGTGTCACCTGAAAGTGAGAACAGGCGTTCACATGGTATTTTGTAGCTGGAGTTGCAAGGTATTTATGTGCCAGATATGCTAAACATTTGTATATCCCTTCATGCTTCGACTTGTAGGCTCTAAAGTAATAATAATAATTATTTGTAATAAACCTTTGTAAGTTGCACTTTCAGAATAAAGAGACAGCACTACAGTACTTGTAGGAGGTGAATTGGAAAATGCTATTTATTTTGTTTATCTTTTTACAGGGCAAATATTTGTAATAAAAATAATATAAAGTGAACAGTGTACACTTTGTATTCTGTGTTGTAACTGAAATATATTTGATAATGTAGAAAAACATCAAAATATTTATAATAAATCTTAATTGGTATTGTATTATTGTTTAACAGTGCGATTAAAACTGCAATTAATTGCACCTATTATTTTAGTCTAGTTAATTTGTTTTGTGTTAACTGTGATTGACAGCTCTATATTAAATATAAAGGTGTTCAACAATATTTTAACAACTTAAAAGGAGCATATACATCTGTTCTATTGCTTAAATTTGCAGGAGGTATCTGGCTTTGATGGAGTTGTGGCAACTTAGGTATTTTTTTACCTTGATTAGTAACATTAGATCTCAGGGTAGAATGTTTTGAATACATCAGTCAACCCTGAAAACATTCCTACACAATTTACATAGCCTGCACATTAATAAATCAGGAACTTTGACCCCAAAACATTGTATACTTTAAAATTACACAGTTTCAGCAGAGGGAATTTATCTCTCTCAGTTATTTGAACTGCTTTTCAACTAAAGTATTTAATGTAACTCTTACAAGGAAAATCCCATTTCCTTCATATTCCTCCTTACATTAGTCCAAGTTACTCCCTTAACGGGATCTGCCTTCAACACTCCTGTACAGACTAGCTACTAGTGTTTATTGACTTTTTGCAATAGTAGTGCCATTTTGAGGATATTTAAACTGATTTTAATCCCTCAGGTATTCAAAGCGGATCTCTGGGGCACTTTTCTTCATAAAACACAGTGGCCACAACAGCTAAGGGTTTATAAGACATCACCCTTTTAGGCATTATGAGTTCAACATTGGGGTCACTAGCATTAATAAACTTTTCTGAGGCTGTTCCATTTTCAGCTATGCAACCAAATAACTCCTTGGCATTGCATATGTCTGAGGGCTTCCTTTATTGCTAAATACTGCATAAAATATTCAGTCTTTTCTAAATATTCCCAGTTCTCTTCACAATGGCTAAAGAAACAAAAACTCCATGATCTACACATTATATATAAAATCATACCAGGTATGTGTGTGTTTGCTGTGTTTCTCAGTTCTGTTGTGAGAGTTGATATTTTGGATGTTAATTTTTGAATAACATGCACTCAGTGTATAAATCTGTCAATAATTGCTTATTACATAATTGCATCAGAATAAATATTTAGAGTATGCAACTCAAATATTTATAAGTACACACTTAGATTACAGGATGATGCACTGCAAAATACACGTTCATCTGTTTGTGAGCTTGGATACCTCATTGAGTGCACTAGAATTTTTGAAGGGGTATATATTGCACTTTCCTTTAAAAATTGGGTTACCCCTTTTAATGAATTTTAATGAATCAAAACATACTTTATTTTATTTCTGCAGTTTGGTTTTCTTTCTTTGTTCTAAGGAAAAATATGAGCCTGTTTGGAAATCCTTTGCATACTGTAGCTCTGAACATTGCTTCATTTTGGTCAACTTGCATTGTTGTTATGCTCACAAGGGGTGGTTAGGTAGCTTCTCGATAATCAGGTTAAGATATTTTTATGATTTTCTTTAAAATATATTTTTGCCTTGATGTGTGCAAATAGTAACTCCCATTAATGCTCCTGGGATTAAGGGAGTAAATACCCTATAATAGCCATCTATATTACAGCTTTTCTTTCATTGTATAAATGCTGGATTTCTTTCTTTTCAGACTGACTTGGGTATTTCAGCTAATTTTTGTGTGGGTTAGAGAACAGTGAAAGCACTGAAAAGTTTGTGAGAAAATATTGCACTTGAATGTGTGTATGTGTGCGTAATCTAGTTTGCATAAAAATATACAATGTCGAACTTGTTCAGCGTGTAATGCCTAGTTTGACTTTTTCTTTACCAACATGCCATTATTATCTTGTTTTGCTGTACATGTAAAACATTTCCTTATAACCCTAATTTTCATTTAAAACACTTGCTTTTGTTTAAAATAACAAATTAAAAGCAATGGATTTCATATTCCAAATTTACATTTTTATGAGAAATGTACAGCTACAGTCATTTAAATCCAGTGGAAAGGTACAATTATGACTTTTGTGTCAGTGGAAAAAATTGATTTTAAAAGTGAAAATGTTAACAGTCTAGACTTTTTCTAATATAATTTTCCCCTCTTCTATACCCACTTTTAACTGTCAAAGTTTATAATAAAAATAGTAATTTATGTAGAAAAGGCAATAGCATTAAAATCCCTAAATTTGGATCCATTTCTGGTCTTAGAACTAAAGACAATTATTTCTTTGCACTTTTTATTATTGGTTTCTAAAACTCTGTTTGAAATGCAGCTTTTCTAAACACATGAAGGCAGTCATAGTATTGCCCAGACCTGCTGTAGGTTGAGGAAAAAGGATTAGTTTTTGAAGCTTTATAACGTTAAAAAAGGGACTATCTCAGACATTTTCTCATAATCTACATTACCCAAGCAGCCATCAATTTCAGTCAACAGGTGCTGGTCTGAGGAGAACATTTCCTTTTGGAAACACCATGTGTCGTCATTTCCAAAACAAATTTTCTGATGTTTTCTGTTTTTTGAGAAATTTCCGAAAATGTCGTTTCATTCTGATTTGGAACAAAAACAAATTTCAAAATGCCAACATTTCTTGTGAACCAGAAATCCAGAGTTTTAGCCTGTTCTAGTTGTCAGCAAATATCTGAGAAATCCACTGGCAAAGTGGGTATCTAATCCCACTCTAAAGTGGCAGAGGTCTGTGCAGTGGATCTAAAGGTTCTAACCCAGCTGATGAGTCATGTGGGTATCAATATGATGCCACATGTTGAAATTTGGTTTTATGAGTTCGCTTAAAAAAAAAAAAGGGGGGATATTGCACACGAAAAGACCCTATGTTAAAATAACATGATTATGTTTCACAGTCAAGCACTCCAAAGTTAGGAAAAGACTCATTCAGAACACAGGATGGACTATGCTCGGGGAAAGGATCTGGTTGGTGAAGTTAGTGAGGCTGTTGTCATAGAATCAGAGGACTGGAAGGGACCTTGAGAGGTCATCTAGTCCAGTCCCCTGCACTCATGGCAGGACTAATTATTATCTAGACCAGTGTTCTTCATTGCAAGGCCTGCGAGCCATCAACCCTAAGTGCAGCTCCCTAAGTTCCCTCTAAGTTCCCAGAGCCTGCACCCCCAGCCAGAGGCCTCACCCGCACCCCAACCCTCTGACCCAACCCTGAGCCTCATCCTGCACCCTGAACCCCTCACCCCCAGCTCCACCCTAGAGCCCTCACCCCTGGTCCCCACCCTCTGCCCTACCCTGAGCCACCTCTCATACGCCTAACCCCTTGGCCCCACCCCATGTGGCTCTCACATTGAAGGTTTTTTGCCAAAGTGGCCCCCCACTTCAAAAATAGTGAAGAGCAACTGATCTAGACCATACCTGACAAGTGTTTGTCTAACCTGCTCTTAAAAATCTCCAACGATGGAGATTCCACAACCTCCCTAAGCAATTTATTCCAGTGCTTAACCACCCTGACAGTTAGGAATTTTTTCCTAATGTCCAACCTAAACCTCCCTTTATGCAATTTAAGCCCATTGCCTCTTGTCCTATTCTCCGAGGTTAAGGAGAACAATTTTTCTCCTTCCTCCTTGTAACAACCTTTTAAATGCTTGAAAACTGTTATCATGTCCCTTCTCTGTCTTCTCTTTTCCAGACTAAACAAACCCAAGTTTTTCAATCTTCCCTCATAGGTCGTGTTTTCTAGACCTTTAATCATTTTTGTCACTCTTCTCTGGACTCTCTCCAGTTTATCCACATCCTTCTTGAAATGTGGCACCCACAACTGGACACAATACTCCAGTTGAGGCCTAATCAGTGCGGACTAGAGTGGAAGAATTACTTCTTGTGTCTTGCATAAAACACTCCTGCTAATACATCCCAGGATGATGTTTGTTTTTTTTGCAACATTGTTACACTGTTGACTCATATTTGTCTTGTGGTCCACTATGACCCCCAGGGCCCTTTCCGCAGTTCTCCTTCCTAGGCTGTCATTTCCCATTTTGTATGTGTGCAACTGATTGTTCCTTCCTAAGTGGAGTACTTATTGAATTTCATCCTATTTACTTCACACCATTTCTCCAGTTTGTCCAGATCATTTTGAATTATAATCCTTTTCTTCAAAGCACTTGCAACCTCTTCCAGTTTGGTATCATCCACAGACTTTATAAGTATACTCTCTCTGCCATTATCTAAATCATTGATCAAGATATTGAACAGAACCGGACCCTGAACTGATCCCTGCAGGACCCCACCCGTTATGCCCTTCCAGCATGACGGTGAACCACTGATGATTACTCTCTGGGAATGGTTTTCCAACCAGTTTTGCACCCATCTTATAGCTTCATCTAGGTTGCATTTCCCTAGTTTGTTTACGAGAGGGTCATGCGAGACAGTATCAAAAGCTTTACTAAAGTCTCTGGGACCCTTCCTCATTTGTTGCAGAAGTTGGAAGTTGTTTAGTGAATGAGGAAGGAAGAAAAGAGGATAGTCTCATGGTTCAGTTAGTTGAGTGCTGACCAAGAGAACTGGAGTCTATCCCTGCTTCTGCCGCAGATTTTCTGTGTGATGCTCAACAAATAACACACACATTTTCATTTGTGGCCACTAATTGTGTGTTCCCCGTTTTCTGGGTATCCAACTTTAGACTCTGGGGCTGAGCACTCACAGCTGCAACTGAAGTCAATGGGAGCTGTGCTTTAAACATATCCAAGTGCTATAAAATGGTAAGCACTCTGAAAAATCAGGCCCTCAATGGCTCAAATTGAGCAGTCAGAATTAGTGGACATGGGCAATCTTAATTCTAGCATTTCTCAATTACTGAGTGTTTGACTTTGCAACCTTAATGTTCTGTTAACACCCTTTTTATGACAGGTTTCAGAGGAACAGCCGTGTTAGTCTGTATTCGCAAAAAGAAAAGGAGTACTTGTGGCACCTTAGAGACTAACCAATTTATTTGAGCTCAAATAAATTGGTTAGTCTCTAAGGTGCCACAAGTACTCCTTTTCTTTTTGCACCCTTTTTATATTACCTTTTATTTATGGTAATGCCTGTCACGTGCTTTCCAAATGTTCAGGAAAGGCAGTGCCTACTCTGAGGAGCTCACAATCTATGGACCCTGGAACTTTTGCCATTGTGACAGCTTGGTTTGCTTAGAGCATATTTAGATAACATGATAGTAAGAAAGCTTGCTTTCTGTATATGCCTGTCCCTCCACCCTGGGAGTTCCACTAGTGGAACTTGCAGTGGTTTTTGATCAACTGTAATAAAGTTGTTGAAAAATTTCCAGTGTATGTACACCTCCCTAAGAACATACTAGCCTGAAGGGGAGGGCAAGAAGATGGGAAAAAACCTTACTGCATTGCTGTTAATAGCATTAGTATTCTTTCTTTGGGAAACTCCTTGCTCTTTGCTTTTGTGGACTTGCTATGAGGAAAGCAGACAAGAGAATGGAGTCAGTACATTTGTATAGCAAGGTCTTGCCATTCTAAGCAGGAATACTTGTAGTATTAATAATTTATTATTTATTTACTGCGTAAAATGAAATTAAGTGGCAACTCTATTTAACATACATTTTTTACAAAGCATCATGCTAATAATTAATGTGCCTGTTTAGATCATTTTTACAGATATTCACATACTCTGAATAAAAATATAATTGAACGTCAATGGTAGTATTATGTTAATTGTAATTATACCAATTAAAGAGATAGAATTGTAGTGAGGCTTTGTTAGTATGTTTCAGTAAATGATACAAGAAAACTGTATCAGCAATGATTTTTGTGGATCTTTTTGAAAATTGTTTATTTCCCATGTGTCTCAAATTTTAGTATAACCAGAATGAAACTCATTTTCATTTTGCAATTAGAAAGGGATTGTGGCTTATGGTGTTTGGCAAGAATCTTGAGAACTTGTCAGATACAAGTTTTGGGTTCAGCATGTCCAAAGTAGCAAGGAACTGGCTGTTACAAACAAGTTCCATGTATTCTTTAAAGCAGAGTAGTTTGAAAACTCTGGAAAAATAAAGAACAGAAATTAAAATTACCCCAGATAGCTTTAACTTTCATAACCAGCATTTGCACAGCAGGTCACACTTGGTTTCCAGAGTTTATATTTCCACACAGATGAAACCATTCTTGTAAATGTCTACAGCACAGTAGATGTAAAATGGCTTTGATTTCAGTATTTGAATTGCAGACCTTTTCTCTTCACAAACCCTGTTTATTATGACCCATGGAAAGAAACTCCTTCCCCCCCCCCCCCCTCAGAGTTCCATTATGACCCTTTTACAGTGTTTCATGACTTTAATTGAGTGCTGGATTTGGGGTGCTTCTTCCTTTTCCAGGCTGAAGAACCATAGAGCAAATCAGAAATGTTTCTTCAGCTTCTCCAATGGTAATTCATTTTTGGAGAATTACAGAGGAACATGGGAATTAGGTTCATTATCCTCATCTGAACATAAGAATATCCAGAGTTTGTCCCTTGTGCCACCTCTCAAAAATGGAGACTTGAGAAAAGGAAGCACGAATGAAGAGCAAGAACTTGACTAGATTGTGCTGAATCTTTTCTTCCTCTCATATCCCATTGTGACATGGAGGCCCATTGGTACCAACAGACAAAGGCTTCCCTGTTTTTTACAAACAACTCCTGTCTCAGGCCAGACAAACTCACAATAACTAATACACCATTTTCATAGTATTTATCCATGAAGGGTAGCATGTGAGTTCTCTACTGAAAGCTTGTAACTTATCAATACTCATAATCATTGAGAGCTGTGTGTGGGTAAGATTTAAAGAATAATGTAACTATGTTGAAAACTATGCCTTATGGTCGTAGAGTAAAGGTTAGCCACCAGGGAATCATGTCTCAGTGATGGAGCATTTATGCGGGAGGGAGTTGTGACCTTTACCTGATTAGCCAGTAAAGTAATGCAAGGCTCAATTGTCTACCCTTCGCCCTACCCCAGAATAGACCATGGAAAACCATCAGACAAGCTCAAACAATCCAAACCATTTGGAGGTAGAAAGGAACATTATAATAGACAAGGAATTGCCTGTATGTGAATAAAGACAAAATATGAATTCAGTATATGGCAAGGTGGAGGCAGGCACTCAGCATCCATTCACTGAGAAAATACACTGCTGAGCAAGGGTGTTTCATGAAGGATTGGCTCCTGGTTCATGGGAAGCCAGCAAGCTCTGCAACAGACTGAATTTTGTGCCTGGATTGGGGACCTACTTTATTAAGCAGGAAAGGTAATTATTAAGTGTAGTCACTAGTTTGCATTTTATAATTTTGTTTTGTGTTGTAAGTAGGGCTGTTGATTAATCGCAGTTAACTCACGTGATTAACTCAAAACATTATTCACAATTTAAAATTTTTATCATGATTTATCGCAGTTTTAATTGCACTGTTAAACAATAGAATACCAATTGAAATGTATTAAATATTTTTGGATGTTTTTCTACATTGATGACTGGGCAACAAAATGGCAGATGAAATTTAATGTTGATAAATGCAAAGTAATTCACATTGGAAAGCATAATCCCAACTA